TATGAGAGAAAAGGACAGCCGTTTGACCGACCATTTAAGATGAGGTTTGAATTAGGTGTGGGCGGCAATGAGAGCTATGAGTTCCCCGGAGAGACACTGACTGACGCCGATTACAGGAAGTGGACGTCTCCGACGCTGTTGATTGAATACGTGCGGGTCTACCAGTGGGTCGACCAAACATGTCCGACCACATGCTCCACGTGTTCACAATCTCTTAACACCACCGAACCTACCCATACAATGTCGCTTATATTGTTTATATTAATAACTTGTGGTTTTATTATAGTAACACTCATTGTTATTGTCGTTTTTCAATGCGTTAGACAAAATAGACTTAATAAGGATCACCCATACGATGAATATGGTTATTGTACCCCCGCTCGCGATGACTATCTAGAAATATCCCGTTAATTTATATTGTTAACTAATTTTGATTATCATATAAATTTTGTTTTTGAAAATTTCAAATATCATAGAATAGCCATAAGAATTTATTAAATTACTATAAAAAATCAAATTAACTGGGTAAAAATAATAAAATGTTTAGTGAATGAATAAAAAATGCTTTTCAAAAAATTTTCTATATTTAAACATTAATTTTGATCAACTTGTGTTACACACAAAATTTTAGTAAATTATAAAATCTTTATCTTTGTATAAGTTATATCTGTATTTTGAAAATAAGTTCAGGATTATGAATGAATTATGAGTCGAAAGTTTTTTTTTCTATAGCTAACGTGTAAATGTACGGAAATTAACGTATTAGTGCCAAAAGTGCCTTGCTAATCCAATGGGAAGTGGGCATTTGAATGGTATGACATATGACACGGCAGACAATTGGAGGACAATCTCAAGACAATTGTCGCACACTTTGAAGGAATTGTTGTTACTTTTATTCAAAAACAGTATCTCTCTCTCTCTCTCTCTCTTTCTTTCTCTCTCTCTCTCTCTCGTGATTGACGGGACAGTTGACCAAAATGTCGATTCGTCCGAAAGTCGTCATAGTTTTGTCGACCAGTTGTTGCATGTCTTCATCATGCGTGAGGTCGGCCGCCTTTTCTAATACATGAGCGCCAGTACTGCGGCACTCATTGGCTACAGTAGTGAGTCGACTGTCGGCGTACTGTCCGCTCACCACAACACTGGCACCCGATTTGGCGAACTGTATGGCTGTGGACACAGCAATGCCTGCCAATGCCTGTGTTGGCACCGATCACCAGGGCCACTTTGCTACTGATGTCGTATGAAACGGACATTTTCTATTAAATTAATGGTGGTGGGTACACTTAATGCCTTGCAAAAAATGTTTTTTGTGACTAAAAGTGATGATTTACTGATTTTATTTTAAAATTAGCATCATTATAATCATTATAATATATGATTCGCCCAATTCTGAAAGGCTTGATGTGTCTGTGAAAGCAAACTGTAAACTCAAGTATTTCTCTTCATATTATAATATACCACAACTTGATTGCTATACATTATTATGTGAAATACTTGAGTTTACAGTTTGCTTTCACAGACACATCGAGAGTTTCAGCTTCTTGTGTCTCATATTATATGTTTGAAACTTTAATGTGTTTTACAGTCTCTAACAAAAATGGTAATGTGTTATAAAAATATTGACAAAAATAAAGTAGCTTATAATCACACTAAATACTGTAAAAATCATTTATTAGTCCCATAAACTTAAATGCAAATCATTTGTTAAAAATAATATCAACTCACTTATAAATGACAATCATAATTTACCCAGGTAACAGTAGTGGTATTTAAAACATAAACCTGTACTAAAACACTTTAAACTAATTTTTAAAATATATCTCATTACAGTTTTAATTCAACTCTAATTTAATACTAATTTCTAAAAACTTTAACTCAAAAATTTTATATTACTATTACTGTAGTAATAACAGTAATAATAACGACTCATTGGTTTGTGGATATCTTGTAGAAAACATTATTTGATTTTTCAGTAAATTAATAATTTGTTTCCCAAATAGTATCATGAAATTATCAGTTATACCTTTTGTGATAACATTTATATTTTTCATATATTACCCAAAACTCTCGCATTCAGCACTTTATAAGCAATTCATTTCTAATCAATTGTTTTCGTATTACAATGAAACGGATATTAGTGTCGAGTGTCGGCAAGTAATCCATCACTTATTGGACGATAGCCTTACTGTCCAACAGGAATGGCTGTTCACAAGTAATTATTTTTTTAAGAATAGGATTATTAATAAATATATTTTATTCCACATTAAGTGTTGGACTCTTCGGCCACTTTGGGCACCGGTATCTTAAAGGGAACGACATATTTCTTCGGAGACTATGATGAGTGTCTGGATATTAATTCACACACAAATGAAAACGGTATTCACATATTGGGTCAGTATTGCACGCTACAAATACCCATCCGACATATTATTGGAAATGTGCATGTATGTATAATGTATGTATAATGTATGTATAATGTATGTATAATGTATGTATAATGTATGTATAATTTATATGAGTGAGTCGGTATTGAATAATGCTTTCCAAAACAGTACTGTACTCTACATGTATACACTGTATTGAAACTTTAACATTTAGTATACAGTATACTAGTATAATAATCACTAGTAGATCATATTTAACAATATTTGATTCTTATAAATAATAATAGAAACTAAATTCATATTATTTTTATTGTAATAAATTATAAAATAGTTAAAATTTAGATAAATATTTTACAAAAAAAACTTGATTTTCAAACAGTAATTATTTTTAAACAGACAGTCTATGCTTTTGAATATACCGTTTCTATACAGTACTGTACAGTTGTATTGTAAAGTATGAAAAGCTTCTTCAATACCGATACAGTATATTATAAGTATATTATATCAAGGTAAATTTCTCTATTAAGACTAATGTTAAAATGTCATAGTTTTGTCTCTACTAGTGTGGCACTACCACTTTGCTAATCATAGATTCATATAAATCAACTTCAATTGAATAGTCCACCATTTAACTGAACATAAACTTAATAAACATATAAAATCTTATTTCTTAACATTCAGTTCAAAGTAAGGCATGAATTGAATGGTATGAACGCATCGATCGGTATTTGTTTGCCCACTGTTTGCAGTGAACGCGATATCAATGCAATGCTTCAAAAATGTATGATTTTTACGAAATATGTAAACTATGCAAATATACAATGTGAATAGTGCAAGGTGAAATATTTGACAAATGTTTAACACGTCTCAATAGATTCATCGAAACACTTATTGAGCGCACGATTAGAGCAATGCGTTCACAGAAATGATAATCCGATTCAATGGTTGCATACCATCATTGGGTTTGTATTTGTTGTTTAAGTTTTATGTAAATTTACACTAAAATTAAATATTTAGCTTATTATATTACAATTATTTAGCAATTTTATGTATAAATAGAATTTTAAAATTTAACATTTCAATAATAATATTCAATTTCTTTTTGTAAATGAAACTGAGAAGTTGCTGTTTTACTTTAATAATTATGCTGGCTATATTGGGATCAATCTCGAGAAAATTAAATTCAACAACTCAAATTAATAATGGTAACATTTATTTTCAATTTTTTTAAAAACTTTTAACTAAAATAACTAAAATAAATATAAATCCCTTAGAATTGGTACAAACTTTGCGGTCATTTGCAGAAAAGTTTTCGATCACTAAAAACACGGCAAATCTGTTACGAGTGGATACACCTCGGGATCAATGGCTGTCGTGTTTATCGGGAATACGAGTCCTATTATCGGTATATGTATTGTCACTTCACTACCATGTGATCAGGATCAATCATCAAAATCAAAATTATAAGGGTAATGGAGATTAACATTAAATAAATAACAGTCTAAATATATGATAAACATAGTATTTCAGATTTTATCAAATATCAAGGTACATTATTTTTAAATACATTATATAATCCTTACAAAATAGAGTTGTTGCAATTAGTGGACAAATTTAGAAAATCAAGTGAAATACTATTAACATTTCCCACGTTATGTATGGCCACCTATTTTATGATAAGTGGTTTGCTTCAAGCAAATGGACGGTTAGGTCGTTCGCATGGGACGGGTAGCACTTCAGCCGTAAATTATTTGTTTCCGATCCGCAAAATCATTCGCCGATTCGTACGCCTAATGCCATCCGTCGGCGCTGTCATTGCCTTTGCCGTCCTTTTAGAGGTGTTGGGGTCGGGACCCGAATGGCACCAGTATATCAATAATAACTCTAGGTCATTATGGTCATTGCAAGTCGAATGGACACTTTTCCTAATTTCACCTTTATTATTAGCATTTGTATATTCTAAACAAATCAAGTACAGTGAAAGGTAAATATAAAAGGTGTTTATTTTGAAGTCAAGGATTTTGTATTGAAATTAAAATATTAATCATATGAATATTTTGATGAAATACAAACCAAAATGTTCACAAATAATGAACATTTGATTCCTATATCACCAAATTTGCAAAATAATTATGCCTAGGTCATAATCTTAATGTAAAATGAGTGACGCGCGTTTTGAGATCTCATAAAATTAGTGCTTTCCGTACAGTGCTATACAATGCATGCAATCATTGATTCAATTACTTAAGACATTAAGTGCAATACGTATGACAGAGTAGGGCTGCCAAACGTCCTCCTTTCGAGGATTGTCTTCCAATCGGTCCCTCAAAAAACAGTCCTCCCGAGGGTCTCAGGAGGACAATGTAATGTCCACCAGAGATAATTGTTAAAATAATTCAAATATTCATTTAATTTTCAATTATTATTCGAAATTCGTGAAAATAATCTGCGAGTTTGTAATCATTCCTTAAACAATTTATTAAATAATTTTTACGAGTACAAGTATTGTATTGTATTTGAATTTTAATTAGCCTTAAATGATAGTGTAGCTATTATGAGTAAAAATATTAATAAACATTTTAAAATTTTTTGTCCTCCCAATGTCCTCCTGAACAGGCTCAATTTTGACTATTTGTCCTCCCAGGCCAAGAAAATAGTTGGCAGCCCTATGACAGAGTGATAGTGTGGGCACAATTGTTATGCAAATTTGGTGATATAGGCATAAAATGTTTATTANTATGCAAATTTGGTGATATAGGCATAAAATGTTTATTATTTGTCAACATTTTGGTGTGCATTTGATCAAAATATTCATATTGTAAGGCTTTTCTTTAAAACCTGGCCTTAACTCACCTTATGAGTCAGAATTACATCATTTTTCCCAAGTCACCCTGGCTAAACCGACCAAAAGGTGGAAGATTTTATTAATGAAATCAACACTTCCATATACCCCAAAGCCAATTAGGGCCCTAAGATAACAAGTTGTTATCCCATCACTACTACCCAATATGACTTAAGCCTGTTTTCCATACGCTTAGCTAAAATATTATTTATATAGGCCATCAGACATTATAACACTACTCGACTCACACTGGTTCAATCAACTCATCCTTGATTGCCCCATAAGCCCCTTAAGCCCCTTGTAGACCCCCCTTTTCGAATTAACTAACAAATAGGCTAAATCAAGCCTTACTGCTAGTGAGGTCCAATGACCTCTCAGGTTTACTATCGCCACGATGGTTCGCAACAGCTATTCACAACCAAGGGGGATCATCAGCGCTCTAAACAGATCAATCATAATACAGTCCAAGCGGCTGCACTAAAACCAATCCCAAGCTCGAAACATCAGGCGATTGACAGCCTTAACGAATAGACATGTATCACACTGGTGGGTAACTACTTTATTGGTTATTATAATCAATACTTTAGATTCAACCCCATTGACTTGCATTATAAAACAGGAGGCGCATTGATAGCAAAAGTTAGTTCGGCTCTTTGTCCTACTGATGTATTTTGAACAGACACGCATACCATTTGCTCTACTCACTCAAACTACACTTCTCTACTCTCCGTTGTAATTGTGAATTACTGATCAAAGTGATCTAAATGAATCAGTTACTTATGTCTAACCTCGTAATCGACGCAATCAACTAACCAAAAGACAATCCAAGACAGAACTCCTTACGAGTTGAACGGTCATCACCATCGTAAGTAAAATCATAATGAATAGAGTATGGAGAAGCAAAGAGTTTGGGAGGGCAGTGGCACCTTCAGGGGCTCACCACTGAATGGGGGACTCGCGGAGATGAGTGGCCCGTTTAGGGCAAAAACGGGTATAGGTGTTACAATATGTTTAATATTTTAATTTTCAATACAAAATGCATGATTTATAAATATACATCTTTATATTGTTTTGTATTCATGATAAATTTAGCAATATAATGGATGAGTATGTGAATATAGTTTGAGTTTTAAAAATATATACCTTTAGAAAACAAATGCTTGGTATTGCAATAAATTGGTTGATTATTATATTAAGCATTGTCGCAATTGGTGTAATATATGTGCACAATAATTTAAGCCAAATAATGGCAAATCCTGAGTAAGAATTAAAAATATTTAGTTTAAAATTTTACATAATATGTATGAATACTATTAGTTTTAATCGCAAATTTATCTCTAGATATGTTAAGAAAATTTACACAAACGTTATCACTTGGGTGGGACCGTATTGTATCGGGATACTATTGGCGCAATATTATCACAAATATCCCAATAATCGTTACGCAAATTATGTATATATTGTGCGGATTATTGCAAATAATTTCAAAGATTTGATAATTTGTTAATTTTTTAGAAATATGGTTCAATTTTATGGAGATTATGCATAGCAACAATGACTATGGTAATATTAACCAGGCTTTTGTATGTAAACAAATCCATGCCATCGGATAATATGTTGGGTGCTCTGTTTTTTTCAATCCATTGCATCCTATGGTCTATATGTGTGGCGTATGTAATATACACGTGTGGGACGGGTGGGGCACCGGTGCTCAACGGTATACTCTCGTGGAAGGGATGGCTACCTATTAGTAAACTCACTTACCAGGCTTGTCTCATTCATTCAACTGTTTATAGATATATGTTTTCCACAACCAGACAAACAGTTTACTTAACAATAGGGACAGCGGTAAGTGGTTTATGAAAATTGATTTAATATTTTAAACTCAATTAATAATATTTTAAATCTAATTAATTTACTTCCTTATTGTTGCAGTTATTGGAGTACATATCCGGAGTAATGATTACATTTATTATCAGTTATTTCGGTTATGTTTTCATTGAGAGTCCATTCATTCAAATTGCAAATGAATTGCTATAAAAATTTAATAATATGTTGTTTGCCAATCTAGTTTTAATATATGTTTTAGCGATCCTGGTGAAATTGTCATTTAAGAAAGTTAACATTGTCAAATATTTTTCTGTATTCCAGGTAATGTGTTATGATAATATAATATTACAACATTGACAAATATGATATGACTAAGTCATAACCGTAGGGACATTATGATTAAAAATTAAATATTGATAATGTGTTTATTAATGTATAGCCAGTAATGGATGTCCAGTTCTAACGCCCCTATGGTTATGAGTTAGTCATATAAGGTATAATTGATAATTTTATGTAGAGGATTTGTAATTATTTTAAAAGTGTAATAAAAATATAAATATATTTTTATTATAATTAAAATTAGATTTATATATTTATATTTGTAAATATTACAAAATAACTTTTATTGAGAAATAGATTAATTTATTGATATTATGATTAGGGCTGCCAAACCTCCCGGTTTCACCGGAGTCTCCCGGAATCTGGGTATGTCTCCCGTCTCTCAGTTGATTGTCTACCTTGAGATTGATTTCTCCCGGGCAAACATTCACACATTTATACACAAATAAAAGTTGTGATTTAATGAAAATATATATAAAACAACATTTAAATAAAAATAAGGTCTTATACCGCATAATTGTTAAATGATTAATGTTTAAAATTATTTTTTCCTGTAATGTGTTTACTTAATTAAATAGTGATTAATTTTAAATGTAATTATTTATAGATTCACTTAAAATATATTTTAAGCATCATTGAGAATATTTCTATTGTTAATAACTATTATTATATTAAAAATTTTAAAAATTAAGATAAGCTAAATATACTTAATTTAAATAGGGCAAGAAATTTAGAATAAGTTTTATTCTTTAATTAATGGATTGATTATTCAAATAATTTTATTCAATTAAATCCAAAGGTCTAATATCAAATTAAAAGAAAATGTCAACATTCAACTCTATATATTTAATAGTAAGAAATTATATGGTTAAAAATCTATGAAAAATTTTGAATAATTCTTTATAAACATCTCCCGGAAATCTGCCGGGAGTTTCTATGCAAACTATTGAAAGCTCCCGTTTATGAACTTTTTGGTTTGGCAACCCAAATTATGATGTTAAAGAATTCGTTTAATTGGTAAATGTTTTCATTGAGAATATATTCTACGAAAAGAGTTGATTCTTGTCATCAGTTATTTGATCCGTGAATTGAGTCCACAATTCATCCATAATTAGAGTCCTGTATTAGTCCTCTATGAATAACGAGACAAATAATAAAATCAATACTTAATTAGTGATTATATTTATCATATGATTCACACAAACCTCAGTCCAGACAATATGTCCACATTTCACTCATTTGTGACAATTTTGTGTTGTCCACCACTTCTCTGATGTCTTGAAGTGATGCCATCGCCTATCCTTCTCTCCATTCAATACAGTGTTTGTCTTTTGGCTTTCATTCAACACTTCCGTCACATTCTTCTGAAGCACAGTTTGGTCACCAGAAGTGGTATTCAACGGATTCTGTGATCCCTTCCCATCAGAAGTGTATGCCTTTGAACTACTGATTATATCGTAAATTCAATTCAATTAAAATCTATTAAATCAATTAAATGATTTGAACATCAAATCAGGAAAACCTTTTCTCCATCTTTTTCATCTGATCCCAAATTTCTTCAAACAGAAAGTCGAGTGAATCCTTGAAAAGCCTAACTGTGTTCACATATAGCAGCGTATGGTCTCTTCGCATACACCAACTCTTGTCTCATGTCTTTCACATCCCTTTCCTTCCTATTATCAAGAGGTCGGCCGTTGACCACCTGTTCCGCGGTGCCGACGACATGGGGGTGAGGTGTGGACCGTCGCGGTCGATGGTTTCTCTTCGGTATCCCTTGGATTCCCTGCCTCTGGTGTTCTCTCCTGCGGAGGGGGCAGTGCAGGCGGACCCCTTGTCGGGCATGGCATCCAGGGCAGGCCATCCCTGTGAGCGGACAGCCAGTGCACGCCATCCCTGTGAGCGGACAGCCAGTGCACGCCATCCCTGTGAGCGGACAGCCAGTGCAGGCCGTACAACGTTTTTTGTCTCATAAGTGATCGATGTTTGCGGTAATGTTAGGGAATTTGTTATGAAGTTCTCACTCTTTTGCGGATAATTGGTATAAACTGATCCAAAAGTGCATCAACTCTTGAGTTAAACTTATAGACGTTATTATCGAATGAATCGATGTCCGCGATATCAGACATCACTAGATTTGCCCTGTTCAAATCCTTTTATCGACTTTTTTATAACTTCTGAATTCAATCTCTTTATGATTATGATTATATGCAATTTTATATTTAGTTAAGTACTAATATAGAGCTTATTACATTTATAATTAATATATTTATAGTAAATGATTACTATTTTTAAGAAACATAAAAATGTTCGGATCATTGTGAATTTAAATTATATGTACTGGATTAATTAGAATAAATAAAATGTTGATTTCTAAAACAAATACAATTTCCAAATTGTGAAGCATTATCAAAAAATATGTATAATTTGATTGTTAAAAACTATTGTAAGCTAATATTAGCGATAAAATAAATGTGTCGGTGACAGCGCCTGTACTGCCATCGCCCACACCTACTAACAGGTGTTAGCGAACTCGAGGGACAGAATCGCAAAAATGACCTCATTTTTAGGCCCGCAATGTGGTCAGACTGTGGACAGACTGTTCGACCGGTGCGCCAGCGGTGTCAACACCGGTCGTAGTTGTCGTCGTGATGGAGATCCCAATGACTGTCCACTCTATTTGATCAGATTATTAAGGCCTCTAGTTTTGGCCCTATGTATACCTCCCTCAACAGCGATTATCCCCATTTCCAGGGAGTCATAGCAAACCGTACCCACAAACTGTTGCTTATTGTCTAGAACATTTTATTGACTATTCTAGAAGTTTAGTATTAACAAGATGCATTCCAAATATTATTAATAGAGAATAATTTTCTTTTAATTTTAAAAAATATCATATAATGTGTAAGAGTTTATAACTAGGCTGACCAGCCGTCCAG